ACTTTATTATTAATATTTAATGGATGGTTTGAACAAAATTTATGTTTGACATTTGAACATTTTGAACGAAGAAACAATTCAGACTTTATTACGCAAAGTCGTAAAATCGCAAAAATAAGCATCTCTACTGATTTTGATGATCACATGACTGCAAAAAAGGTGCTTATTTTTGCGATTTTACAGTACTTTATTGAAAATTTTTACTGATTTTTTCTCTAACAACCATAAAGTTTCAATCTGCATTATACTACTTAATGAAAAGAGTATATAGTATATGTTAGAAATACCAAATTTCTCAAAAAATGACAAATTTGATTATGTATATCAATTGTTTCTTTTATTTTTTTAGTCGTAACTGCTTAACCAGATCTTCACAACATTTGATAGAATCACATTATAGTTAACAAGTGTGAGGGATTTTTTGTGATAATGAAATCAAATGAAATTATTATATAGGAGTAGGATTATTAAACGAAATCATCCAACCTATGTAACATTTTTTCTTCGTCCGTAAAGATGCCATACAGTCAACCCTTGATATAACGAATTTTATGTCCTGAACTTCAACTTCGCTATAGAGCTATAGTGAATTTTTTAAAGAATTTGATTGGCTAGTTCGTTATAACGAGGGTAAATTTAATATAGTTGTCCAAAAAATTCGTTATATAAAAATTCGCTATAGAGAGGTATGACTGTATACAAATGCATGAAAATTTTAGCAAAAAAAGATCAGTATATTTTGCTTGGTTAAATTCAATTAATGTAGTGGTGTTCTATCGTTAACACAATAGCTGGCTATCCTGGATAATAACATCCTACGAAGAAATAACTTGCTAGTTTTATTGGCTTCTGATAGAATAAGACAATCTATCGTAAACGCTTTGCGTATCTAACAGATACCCAACAATTTTGTATTCCAAAATCAGCTGACTATCCTGAACGATTATATCTTATGAAGGAATGACTTGTCAGTTTTACTGGCTTCTGATAGAATAAGACAGTCTACTGTGAATATATCATTTTTCTAAATAAAACTATCATAAAGGAAAAGAAATAAAAAAATGTATAAATATATCTAACATGAAGAGGCTTAAAGAAATGCAAACGGTTAACAGTTCTCTGGTTGTAGTGATATTGCATATATGACTTGTATTTATCAGCATAAAATAAATGTAGGGCAAAGTGTGTAAAAGGTAAAAAAAAATTATATTACATGAAACTCATACAGAAGTATTTTTACTATGTTTAATTGTGATCGTGAAATTGTTTGTTATTAATTAACATAGACCCCCAAATTGATTGATCATTATCATTAGTCACATTAGTAATAATAAATCTTTTTTCTTCTTCCATTTTTTCTCCCTTTTTTCATATATTTTAAAAGTTTTGTTAATTAAAAAACTTTAACAGCAGATCAGAACTTCAGTATAGAATATTATATAAAGTTGTGACATTTTCATAAGTAATTTTATAGCAAACGCGTTTTTCGTATTGTATAGTGATTTCACAACGTAAGTTCAACACTTTGGTCAAACTAAATAAGCGAAACATGCATAAGTAAAGTTGTTCAGCAGATATGTTTGCAGCTTAATTCTTGCAGGTCTAGCTTGAAAGGTGGTGGAGTTATATTTTTTTTTGTAATAATACTAAAACGCGTTTTGATTTTTACTTTCAGGCGTAATTTTAATACTTTAATCAAAGAAAACAAGCAAAGGAAGCTTAAGTAAAGTTGTTCAGCAGGTATAAAACTGTTTGCATATTAATTTTCGCGAGTTTAGCTTTAATGGTTGTGGAGTTATTGATTTTTGTAATATTATTAAAACGCGTTTCATTTTTTTATTTTTAAGGCGTAATTGTTCAAAGAAAACAAATAAAAGAAGCCTTAGTAAAGTTGTTCAGCGGTATGGAAATACTTGCACAATAATTTTCGTGGGTCTATCTTGAATGATTGTGGAGTTATTGATTCTTTTGTGATAATACCAAAGCGCGTTTTTTTTACTGTTAATATAGCATCATTTTAATAAAGCTTTGTATTTCCAAGGTTATATTCTTTTAATTTTTAAAAGTGCGCGAAATGCAAAAATAGACAAAATATTTTCCAAGATGAACTTTCAAGCTATGAAAATCTTGTATATTTTTATTTAAAGTAATTGAATAATATAAAATTCGCAACTATTTCATTTTGAAGTTGTGCTTGTATTTTTATTATAAAGAACAATAGCTTCTTTTTTGTTTCCTGACATATATTTTGTATTGTAAATTATTTAATTTATATCTTTTTAAAATCTAATCCACATTTTGAAATAATTTTATTATTGTATCTAATACAGTTTTGGTGGTATCCCTATTAAAAACTCAAATTAATCTCATGCATTCAATGTAGAGCACGCACAATGATGTTTTGCCTACTTGAAAGATACTTGTTGCAAGCCAAATTGTATTTGATGTATATTCTCAATTATTTATTTTAAAATGTATTTAATTGTTTCGAAAATCTATATTAGTAATATAATTTGAACGGAAAACAAGTGAACGGATTTTGGTAATATGTTATGATTTTTTGTTTAATGATTATGTGCTTTTTGTTGCAATTATTTTTCCTTTATTGAATATCATATAATTGTAAGATTTATCTTTCTCAGGTAATTGTTATATTAATGAAAACCTTTGTGAATTATTATTGGGTACTTCTACAGGATGTTGATAGGCGCTTTTTTATTGATGTCTATGGATGCCTCTTCATTGATGTTAGTAAGTGCCGTTTTATTGAATTGTTTATTTTTTTGATATATTTTAAGGCGCGCACTTTTAAGTGGAATCAGTGTTTTTTTATGATTTATAAATATTAGATATGCAGCCTTAATGACCAATAATTTAAAATGATGTAAAATATATAAAAATAATTGCGTTATTGATATTTTAAATAATTCAATTGTATCCGTCCTAATAATTCACGAGGCATTTCATTTCTCAAACTGTGATTCGTTTGAAGATTACATAATTTTGTTTTAGAAAAAATAAAAGTGCGAAAAATAAATCGAATCAATCAATCATTTGACGTGTACGACACGTCTAAAAAAAGTCTAAATAAATAGTATAAATAAGTGTTATTTCTGTAATTGTTAGTTTAAATCTTTTTTTTCTTCTAGTTAACTTTTTAACATGGATTACTTTCAGAAAACCAAACCAAGCAAATGGAAATTCATAAGTTACTACAGATTTCGACTATTAAACCAGTGATATCTTTCTCGAAAGAAGCTCGCCTTCTTGAAGAATGACTCAATTCTTTAGCCAATACAGGTACCGAAGCATAGAAAATTTACGCTAAACGATTATTTGACAACTTAGAAGTAAGTAAAATTTTTTATTTGCATGGATGCAAAATATTATCTTGAGGTTTGTACGATTAAAGGTGAAGAGCTCTTTCGTCCTGTTGCTTTCAAATTTCTTTGAAATGCATGCATCTATTATAAGGTCTGTTGATTCCGGATCAGGTTTCGACCAAGTTACTTCCTTTAAATAGTCAAAAAATTTTGCAGCTGCGCTTTATTAGTCATGGTAGTATTGTTAAAGGAGGGAACTCGTAGGTAACTGTTGTAGGTCCTTCAATAGTGCTATCAATACTAAGGTCTACGGGTCTAAGGGTAGCCTAAGGGTCGCCCCAACATTGTACTCACAACCAAAAGTTTTCTTTTAAATCTAACATTTTGCTTGTTTTATTGAAAAGGATCACCAAATAATCGATGAATTTTGGATTATTCTGGAAAAGGCTAAAGAATTGACATTAAAAGAAGCTTGTGACACTCCAAAAGACGTACAAGAAATCTCTGCCCCTCAAATCCCCCTCAAGAGGAAATTTCTAATTTACCCCAAGACAACGATCCCGAATAACAAGATAACCCTCAATACGATAAAAATAAGGCAACAATGCCTTTGAGAAGGGTACAATCTACAGGCTTGTTTAGGAGTGAAGTAATGAAAGGCAAATCTTTCCATCCGTATTTGAAAAAACCTAGTTGATACATAGCAGGGGCTGTGAACTTTATTAACTCAATATCAGATGTTCAATCAACCGTTTCCGAAAAATTAATAATAATCTGTAATAACGTTTTTATCATTTTTTTTACATTATAAAAAAAAGGTGTTACTGTTTTTTTTACTTTAAATACCATTTTTTTTTACAATTTCCCCTTAGATGGTTTTTCTATCTAGTATTTTCTGAGTTACCTATTATTTTTTATTATAAAATAACTATGCTATTTTTTTTTATTTCTTATTTTTTACTTTTTTTTTATAATATATAGTAAATGATTGGAAAACTATTTTTTTTGAATTATGCCACAGTAATTTTATCAATTGAAACCAAAAGGCCTTTTCTGATGATGCATTTTTTTAAAATCAAATATATAATTTCTTAAAGTTTTAATTTTAAAATTAAATTCGATCGCTGGTTGAACTAGAAATAAACACAAGTTAATGATTTTAAGCAACTTTTTTTTTATAAATAATCAATATAAAAATTATTCCCGAAACTAAAGAATTGTTCTTTATTAACTTATTTATAAGATAATAAGAAAAATGAAAATTCCATTTTCGGTCATTTTCACCCGAGGGAATTGTTGATAAACTTGTTAAAAATAAATTACTTGCATTAGAAGGATAAATGATACCTTTGGGGAAATTACATTTGATCGCATCACTTAAATTTTATTTTGTATAATACGCATATCGATACTGTTAAAACCATAAAAATCATGAAACTCAATTTCTATTCGTTGATGATAAATAATATCAAATTAAATGAGAGATCACGTGTGTAAGGATAATCAAACCTTTCGTTTGTAATAAAAATCACAGTTGTTACAAAGTTGTTCTTAAAGAACAATATTTAGAAGATGAGTAGTAGTAACACTTTGTACGGGTGTAACGCGTGAAAAAAACCTTTTCTTATTATTGTAGTGTGAAATGTTGGTTGAACTTAAATTCGAATTTGGAGTAAAATGAATTTGATAAGAAAAGAATATCGCATCAAAGAAGATATGGTTGTAAGTATAAAAAAATAACCTGCATAACAATAACTTGAATTATACCTAACAACTACACCATTCTGTATTTATTTTAGATTTCGAACCAATTATTCGAAACTAGAATTAACGAAATCGATAATGCGATAGGAAGACGTGCAGTAGGAAAGGGATCTTATTTATTTCTTTATATTTTTACTACGCTCTTAGTGCTAGCAATAGGAGTACCAGTAACAAAAGGAAAAGCAGACAAAAATGAAGACTATTCGTACTTTCAGTGGGCGTACTTCTTTATTATTGTAAGCTGTGTATATCTTGTCGTGGTAAATATTCATTGGATTATGTACATTCAAAACCAGAAGACAGCAAGTATCTTTTTAAATTTCTCTCTTCATTTCATTTCATTTTATTGTTTATTATAAAAACGAGTATCTTTTACAGAAAATGAAGGAAGTCGAAAAGGTGATGGTACGAATGAACAATTTAGACAATCCTAAATATATCTTTTGGAATCTAGATTTCACTGACAAATATGTTATGGAAGGGTATAGGAAAAAGTATTATGTAAGTTTTTTATTACTCATTATGAGTAAAATAATACAATCTGATATCATTATTCTTTTTAGTATGTAATACTTGAGCTAAGCTCGCCAATAATAACTCAACAAGTGACAGCAGAAGTGACAGTATTACCACCACCAACTTTGGCACCACCACAGCAAATTGTCATCATAACAGGAAATGCCGCAACATCTCCGCTAAACGATTATGCTGCACAAACAACTCAAACAATCTCAATTGACGCTTCGCAATTAAATCAAATATTAGCTGTTGCTCAACAGCAACAACTTCCGCCTCTACCCCCACCAAAATATTAACTTTGTATAGTATGTATTTACTTCAGCAGACAGTTTGTATATTAACGTTCTTCGTGTGCTTATCAATGAATCAATGAAATATTAATAAAATTATTTATTTGCCACGAACAATAATTGTATATAACATACATATTTATGAGAACATGTCTGCAGAAAATGAATGACCGATGGATTTTATCTTCGCCTATAAAACTAAAAAGATCGTATATTTTTTTCCATTTTCTTATGTACATGTTCATACAGATAAGATCATAAACAACATGGTTAATCTATAATAATGAAATTAAATTATTCGTTGAAATGTGATCTTAACCAGTATTTTATATTTGCAGTGGATCTTATCTTTCAAAAAAACTATACATCAGATGTTACTAAATTAATTATTATTGCAGTTAATCAAAAAAAATTTCGATTCAAAAATAATTAAAATCTATTAGAATACAAGTAAATTTGAATTATTAAATACAAGAATGCGAAAAAAAAAATTTAAATAATTTACAACTTTCCCTCGGGTGATTTTATTTTTTGATAACTTTAAAAACTTCATATTCGGTAACATAAAATTTACGATGTTTTGTAATCGGAGCTTCGTAGTCATCTTCTTTACAACTACAACTGTCTATATGATTAAAATTACCTTGCATCCAAAGATCTTTATCACCAAAACAAGGACCGTAATTGTCATCCTTGAGAGTGATAGCATAATTAAATCTTGAACACCTACTTATTTTGGCATCTTCCAAACGATTCCTACTACCAAAGGAAAATAAAAAACTGTCTCTTGTTTCTAGATGACCGCTACCAATTTGCCATCTAACAGGATTATATCCACCAATAACTTCACTTGAAGTGGCAATTCTCATTATAACAAAAGTGGCTCCTTGATTATCACACCTTTGATGAAAAGTTTGTGCATCAAATCCATCTCTTGTACCTCTCGTTAATAATTTAAATTTATATGGTATATCTGCTCCACTATAAGTTAGTGATTCTTTCTTGTCAATCCAATCTGCAATACGAGACATTTGTTGATGTCCAACCAAAGTTGAATTTCCTCTTGGCGTATTCACACCAAATATTGGTTTACTTCCAGGTTTTAAATGACACCTAACAATATCATCTTCCAAATCATGAGGTAAAATTGCTCTAAATGGCCAAACTTTATCATATAAATCACTTGAACTCATTTGGAAAAATCTAACCAAATGTATACATTCTTGTAATGTTAAGGCTAATGTTTGAAATTCTTCCGAACTCCATTCTCTCAAGTTCACATCAAATGAAGGATTTTGTGCTAATCCCCATTTAATAACTTGATCCCATACTTCATCTTCTGCCATATCTAAATCATCCCTTTTTAATATTGGTACAAGTAAAGATTCATCTAATGAAAGAAAGTCTGGTGATTTAAATAATAATTCGGGATCTGATGATATAGTTGCTAAAATAAATTCTCTCAATTTTTCGCACGATTCATGAGCTAAACTTGTTTGATAAATTTTTAAAATATAAGAATTTATCCAATCATTTTTCGTCTCCACCAAATGATCTTGAATATAATCCAATAAATCCTTTAATAATAATTCATCGGCTGCTGCTAATATTTCCAATATCTCCATGATATCTCGATCAAATAATGTAATCGTTCCACTATATATATAACTAAATGCGAAAGAGACAATTAGTTATAATATATTTATGTTTAGTTTTTTTTAAAAAAAAAAAATATTATTACTTACTCGAGTATAATTTCAAAGACTTTAGGAGAAATATTAGGTTGTCTGAGAACATTATCATCACCTTCTTTTCTAGCCCATTGTTTAGAAAGAGCTGTACGAAAATAAGAGGACCTTGCACGAAGAATTAACGAGTGAGCCTGAAAAACTTTTTGATCATGATCTCCTCCAACGTAAATTACAACATTGAATTCTTCAGAACTGTCAAGTAAGTTAATAATATCTTTAGAAAATACTGAAAGTAATTTCATAGACATGATTTGTTTAATGAAAAAAAAAAAGAAATCGTTGAAGGGCGGTAAATCTTTTTATGTTAATTTTTGATGTACATGCAAATAACCACATGGTAATACATTAACGGATTCAATATCTCCATTTTTGTAATGAAACGGTAGGATTGTGAATCCTTTCCCTTGAAATAATTTAATTTGAATGTTCTATTTTTAATGTTGCTGCGCCGATGATTAAGAAAGTTAGGGTTAGGATTTAAAAACACACTTTGTTAATCATGCTGTGGATGGGAAAGTTTGTACATATTTACATATTTATTAACGTGATAAGATAACAAAAAAAAAAAAAAAAAAAAAAAAAAAAAAAATTTCATGTAACGATGTCTACAAGTTGTATTTTTTGTAAAATTATTGAACGTAAAATTCCTTCTGTTAAAATTTTTGAGACTGCTCTAAGGTAAAGCTAACATCTTTAAATCTTATGATTAATTTTAATAAAGTATTTGATAAAAATTTTGTTTTATAAAGTTATGCATTTTTGGATGTTGGACCATTATCTGAAGGACATACGGTAATGATATTATCGATTTATCGATTACAATTTATATGATATCTTTTAATTAAATTGTATTTTCCTCTCATTTAGCTTGTAATCCCAAAATGTAAGTTATTCCAATTCGATTAGTTTGCAATGATTTCTTCTTTTTTTTATTCTTCCAAACGAAAACTTTTAATGCAATAATCTTTTCAAAATATATACAGATCATGCTAAATTTTTGCATGAATTACCTGATGAATATTTAGCTGATATATTACCAGTAGCAAAAAAAGTTGCTATTGCTACTGGCGCTGAACAATATAATCTTTTACAGGTAACATTTATTTTTTTGTAAATTATATTAAAAATATACATTGAAAAAATTTTTTTTTTTTAATAAAAAAAGAACAATGGTCCGCTTGCGCATCAGGTAAAAATGTATTATTATTTTATGGAAAAAAATTTATTATTTCGTTAATTATTATAAATTTACCACAATTACGATAAATATTAGGTTGTAGAACATGTACATTTTCACGTTGTATGTACAAATTTCATTCTAAATCTTTTTTTTTTAAAAAAATTTTAAATTCCTAAAATAATGTTATTTTTTTTGTGTAAAGATCCCTAAACCTAATGATGTAGAAGGTTTAGGTATTAAATGGCCATCTACAAAACCTTCTAAAGAAGAAATAGATGCTACTGCTAAAAGAATGTTAGAAAAATTATAAATCATTAAATTGATATTAAGATTACTTGTTAAATAAGCCTTGCTTGTAATTTTTTAAAAATTAAAGAAATAATAAAAACAAATAATATTGAATTATTTTTTATCTTAATTCTTATAAATAAATTGATTTATTATATAATACTTAATTTTAAATTTTAACAAAATTTAAAATAATATCAGATAATAGATTTTAATTAATATAAAAACTTTATTATTTAATATATAATAATTGTTTTTTTTTATTATTTATTATTACAATTAAATTATAAATTTTATTAATTTTATTTAATTATATTTTATTAATTCAATCATAATTAATTTAAATATATAATGTTAATAAGAATTAAATATACTTTAATTACAAAAGATATATTCTCCAATTTTAATATTCTTTAAGTACAATAATAATCTTCATCTAAAATATCTGTTAAATAATTACTATCATTTAATGAGGGAGTATATTCATCTTCACTATTTGAATATTTTAATGCAAATTGATCAGAATATTTATTATGAAGTTAAAACTTATCATTTTTTAACAGTTAAATTTTATGAGAAATAGGCATAATGTAGCTTTAAATGTGACAAAAATTAATTAATTTTTTCAAAAATTTTTGTAAAGAAAAAAATATATTTTTTATAAGCTAAAAAAAGACTTGAATAGATAAGCGTTATGAAATGTGATCATTTTTGTAATATTATATGAAATTTACTTATTCTTAAATTTTCCTATTATAGTAAATTAGCTAATATTCATAATTATATAATATAATTAAAACAATATTTTAGTTTAAACTGATAATTTTAATAGTTTTTGGTATTGTCTATCAGAATTAACAGTTAAAATCATATTAAATTTATTTTGGATAGCATAATATTAATTTGAAATATCACATTATAAAGGTATTGTATTGTATATTTAAATATTCACTAGAAAGAAAACAAAATTATGGATCATATAATATATTAATATTTTAAATTAATATTTGAATTATTTTTTTTTTGAAACATTTATTTATTTAAAATTCAGATTCAAATTATAAAATAAAAAAAAAATCCCAAAAAAGATATAAAAGTAGAAAAAATAAAGTAAAAGCTGCTTAATCTTTCTTTAAGAATGAAACTAATTTTAATTAAACCAACTGGTTGTTTCATCACGTTTAATTTTAAATATTAAGAAAGGAAAAATCAATATATGATAAAGGAAAATGTGTTTGAGATAACTAGTTTTCATTACATTAAAAAGAGGTCAAGATTTACTATAAATAAATGAGTTAGAAAAAGAGTTAGATGATTCATATTATTATTATCAGTCAGATTAGTGTGTGGGGAAGAATTTTGTGAGAGTTGCATGATTTTTACACTTTTTTATTTGTTATATTATTGGATAACTCTTTGGTAATAGTTAAAGTACATTTGGATTTTCATATTAAAGTAATAGATTGATTTATGAGAAAATCATAAAAAGATGATAGAATAGCAAGGATTTTTGTTTGACAATTAATAAAATCATTAATGAGTTAGTAAAATTAGAAAGGTAAAATTTCTTTAATAAAATCAATAAAGTTGAAGGATGAGAAAGTAGAGGGAGACAAGGATCAGTAAGAATGAGAATAGTCAAGAATATTTTGTAGTTAAGATGACTATTATCGGCTAGTGATGTAAATGTAAAGTTAGTCTTTAAGAGTTGGAATACTTTTAGTAATAATATTTGTAATTAAGATTATTAGATGAAATCTGAGTTTAGACAGATGTCTAAATGGTAAAAGTAAAACTTGGTTAATTTATATTAAAATCTTATTAAAAAACTGCAAAATTCAAAAAAAGGTAAAACTATATCAAAGTTTATAAAAATGGCAAAACTATATTAACATTCAGTAAAAATTAAAGGTTTAGACATTTAGCCAAATCCAAAATGAGTTTAGATAAGCAATTTTATCTGTGATAGTAAAATGAATCTTAAAACAAGTCTAAACGTGTGTGAAAGTTTCACCATAAGCATTATATTAATAATATCACCAAATAGAGTCAAAGAGATCAGGTAATATGAGTTTGAAGAATTTCAAAGTAGGCAGTTGATCTAAAGAAGTTAATATCTTCATTTGTAATAATAAGATTCTTTATAAGAGGTTTTGTTATTTAAGTCAGGATTAATAAAATTGAAGATGCAAAACTAATTTATAGGTTTGACTTTGTAATGATTGTTTCTTTGAAGATTATAAAAGTTATAGAAGGATTTGGAATAGACATAATCTTTAAAAAAAGGTTAAATTTCTTTATTAATGAGGATTGATTAAAAGGTGAGATGAAAGAGAGAGAAATAGGAAGATTGTAAAGAACAGATTTTGCCAAACTGTCTGCTTTATAATTATAAAGATCATCAGAATGGACTTTAACTTTTACCAAAGTTAATATTATCTATTTTTGTTCAAGAAGTTTAAATATAAAATAATAGTATATGTAAAATAAAGTTTTAAATAGTAAAGATGGATAGTAACAAACATTGAATTGTAATAAATAATTATATGAAAAAATTATTAACAAACTATCAGTATTAATTTTAATAATAGAATCAAAAGGACAGGCAAAAAGGATCATTACAAGAGTAAAAATTTTAGCATTAGTAGAATTAGTCTAAAAAGGAGACAAAGCAGCAGCAAAACTAATAACTAAAGTGTTGTGAATCAGAACAAAAGTAAAACTAATATAAGTATGTAAAGGAGATAGTAAAAATCGATGAGATCTATCTGTGTAGAATTCTAATTTTTTTTATTAAATAAATTGATTTTAAGATTATTAAGAATAGTTATGCAGTCAGATGAAATAAATAAATATTCTATAGTTAAAATATCCAAATTTAAACTAAGGTAGTCAGGTAAAATATTTGGAATAGTAACAATATGTATATAACAGAATCTAGTGATAGCTTAATTCATTAGTGATTATAGTGATCTTTTAGAAATATAAAGATTTTTAGCATTTCTTTAGATCAAAGGAAATATAGAGATAGGATTTAGTAATAAAGAATCCATAAAAGTTGCATAAGGCAGTTTTTTAAACTTTGGTTTGATTTTAAATCATTTACGATTTTGGTTAAAAGAGCAACCAGTACATTGTATAAGAAAATCAGTCCTTTTAGACAGTAAACGAGGATGATTAGTTGGGTTTATTAAGATATAATATTGAAATCATCATGAAGTATAACTCAGCATTTAGTAAGCATTTAGTAAATGCTTTAAAATTACTTTTTCAAGTATTTATTGATTAGGTTTGAATCGACCTTATATTTGATAAGCATTAGCATTCTATTATGATTACCTAATATTATATATTATATTAGCATTAAATTCTAGTATAATTTTTATATTTATATAAAATACTTATAATATATTTACTAATAATAATAATTTTATATAATTTTTATTAAATTTTAGTAAATACTTAACAAATAAAATATATTAGTATAATACAAATATTAATATATTCACAATTAAATACTGATTAAACAGATTAATTATAATCACATCTTTTGATTTTGTAATATTTATTTCGTCTATTTTTTTAAAAAAAAATAAAATTTGATTATTAAATAAAAAAATTATTTTAAAAAGCTTGTAAAAATAAAAAGAATGTAAAATTATTTACAATTTCCTCACAATTCCTCAAATTCAGTGACTTGCATCTTTTCAAGAAAGTGATTAATTTGTTTCACAACTTTACTTGGAACCATATTGGTACCTTTTGATAGATTAAGATAGTTCAGGACAACAGTGTTACGTCTAATTTGTAACTCAAAAAAATTAATAATACTAAGACTAGACTCAAGAAATCACAATAAAGATTCATAGTAAACGTCAAAGATTATTCTCAATTACACATGAGTAACTTCTAGATATTTCAAAGATTACATTTCAGTGACTACACATTAAATCAATATAATGAATCAATACAATACCACACAAAGTTAATAAATAATAATAATAATATATTTGTGAAGGATAAGTTTTAACTTGGTTAATTATATGCTTTATTAATTATATAATAAATTGTAAGTTCCCTACCTCATAAGGTATCGAGACTTAATAAAAATACAGTGATATTTATACATATTTGATAATTATAAAATAAACTAAACTAAATATATCTATGAAAATAAAATGATATTGTCAAGAAAATAAAGTTGACAAAATTGATCAGCAAGGATGATTATATTAAAAAGTTACCTGTTATACTGAAAATAAAATTGACATCTGGATCTATAATATTTCACATTAATTATCTCAGGACATAAAGTTGATATCAATATCGACGAGATGATAAATAAGGACATTTAATTGATATTGGATTTGTAAGCAAATTTTAGCCAAAATTTTACACTGTTACAGTCATTCTGAACGTGATAGAGTCTTTTTCTATATTCAGATTTGTAAAAATATGGTCAATTATCGGGTTAAGATAATTATAATACGAATTGTCATTAAGGTCAACAGGTTTGTTTAATTTTATATAACATTTACGTGTAATATTAGCATCTTTAAATTTCTGTTCTTCATCACGTGTAATTTATCGATTTTCAGTTTTTAGTTTCACAAGGTCTAAAAATTCAGCATGAATAGCATCATTAATATATTGTACAATATTACTTCATGCTTGATGTGAGAATCACTTAGCTTAGTTAAAATCAAAAAACTAATAAGATTAAATGATTTGTTATAAATAGTCATTAATATTTACTTACCAGAGAACAAACATGCTTATTGAAAAACGTTTTCATCCACTATGTTATATTTATTTTAAAATACCTCTTTTTTTTGCATTTAATAACGCATCATAACATAATTGCATAAGGCATTCATCATTTGGATATTTGACTTTCTCAGCTACAGCATAAATTGTTTGACCAATTGTATCCTATCGTATAATTAATTATTCAGTATAATCTTAAGAAAATAAACAAAAAATTATTTAACATATTCACCTCAATCCATTTTGTATCATTTTTCATATGACTACTGAATCTGTTAGTTTTCCAATTTACATACATTTTGTCAACCTTTTTTTGCATATCTTGAATTATCGTAACCATTTGAAATTATACATCCTGTATACTGCTAATTGCCAAAGTAAATACTAGAAGAAATTATAGTTAAACAATATCATATTATTATATTTAAAAAGCAACGAATGATCAATAAACTTACAAATCCTCTTTTGTACAGTATCTTCTTATCTATCTTCTATTTTAATCTTTCATTTACAATTAGAGCGGGCATTCCCATTTCCTGAAGTAAAATCATTAACAAAATCTTCATTTTTGCTTGAAAGATTGCCTTCTGGATCAGGTAAAGTAATATTATCATCCAATGTATCTAAATGGATTTCTATATCTACATCTTTGGAAATCTGCTTATTTAAATCCATCTAAATAATAGAACCATTTGGGATGTCTAGAGTAATTGGAATGCTTGGAGTACTTAGGATACTTGAAATACTTGGGGTGTTTGAGATGTTTGGAATGCTCATAGTATTTGTTGGTTTCACTGAGAGTTCAATAAAATAAAACGTGTTGAATATTTTTGTACATTGATATATATGCAATTATATTCCAAAGAAACTATAACTTCTTTAATTGGTTTAAGCAATTTGATTAATTCTTCTATATCTTAAAAAAAATACGATTTCTTAATAAAGATTTGATATCATCTCTAAGAGTTTCTGAATGTTTTTCTAAAAGCTTTAATGATATAAAAAAATATAATAAACTTTATTATTATTAATTAAAAATAACAAATTTATTTTAAAATAAAAAATCATACACTATAAAATGCATCTTCACATCTTTTTATTGATGCAAGACAATCAAATGCTGTTTTTTAACATATTTTTGAATATCCTCGTAATCCATTTTCTATAATTAAATTTTCTTTTAATTCTTGAGTTACATAAGCCCTATTTTGATATGATTTTCTAAAATAATTAACAATTTTCATACAAAATTAAATTGTATTTTTTGAATGTTTGTGTGTCATTATATCAGTAGTTAATAAATTGATATGATGTGTAATACATCAAACTGGAATTATATGTTGATATTTTTCATTAATTTGTTTTTTTGCTGCCACCATTGTTGCTGCATTATCAGATACTATTGAAGAAAACTTTTCAGGTCTAATCTCTTCTATTATTTTTATAATTTTTTTAGATATAAAATCTGCATTATGTGAATATTTATAAAGATCTTGTAAAGAGTATATACAGGGTTGGGAATTTTGTATGTACTAGATAAAATTACCACTGTACTTGTACTGTACTTGTACTAATTTTTATATTAATTATTATAATGTACTAATTATACTAACTGTACTAATCATTGTACTAACACTGTACTTTCCAACTCTGAGTATATATATTCTTTTTTTGAAGGTAAAATTAAAATAAATGCATAAATTGATACTCCTTTTGGTCCACTCCAATCATCTAATCCTAAAATTAATAAAATTATTTAAATTTAAATTTAAATCATAAATTTATAAAAAAATAAATAAAGTAAATAAACCTAATATTATATTTTTAAAATCTTTTAATATATCAAGAATAGTACATGTAACTTGTACTAATTCTACATTAATCCAAATACTAGCAAATATAACTCTATTAGGAAGATTATAAGAAGGGTATAAACATTTCACAAAATTCACAAAAAATGGATTTAAAATTATATGAAAAGGAAGATCATAACAAACAAAAAATCTAGTAAAAGCTCGATTACATTTTTTTTCTTTTTCAATATTAATTTTAATATTATCAAACATTGTAGTAATTTTTTAATTTTGAACTTTAATTCGTTTAGTAGAAGAGGAGGCTGTAGTAGAAGAGGTTGTAGTAGAAGAGGAATTCTTATATGTTATACGATTTTTTATTTCTTCTGATCATTTTTCAATTTCTTTTCAATCTTTATTGAATATACTTTGACGTTAAGCTATAGAAATATAACAGGTTTTCTGATCAGAAGATCTTTTAATGATGCTTGACTATTATATTAGCCATATATGTTTATTCACTTTGAGACTTAACAAACTTTGTACTAAAAGTGGGATTTTATCAAATCTCTTCTATAAAAATATCATTAAATAATAAAAGTTTAAGATATTTTGCTAACCTTTAAACATAATTTTTTTCACCACTTCAATCATCTAATAAATTATTTCTTTCAGCTTATTTTTAGATATCATGTATCATTATCTACTAATTAAAAAATAACAAAAAATGATATAATATGTTCTAGAGGTAATTTAACTAAAAAATTATAAATATTGTCATATATTACTGAAAATATAATAAAATTTTAAAATAGTATATATCACAATTTATTTAAAATCCTAAAATTAAATGGAACTATTAGGAAGTGAAAAGAAAATTACATATTTATAAAAATTTGCAACAAGAATTATATTATAATCCTAAAAAATTTGATAGAGTATATTTTTATTTAGAGATGAAAAAGAAGGGTGATCAATTTTATACAGAAATGTATCTTTCAAAATGGAGTATGAAGTACAGAAGAAGAGAAGGTTTATAGATAAGAAAAGGTTATAGCTAAAATTCATAAAGAAATATTTCTAGAAAATAATAGTAAAAATTCTGAAATGCAAGTTTCAGTTTCTAAGTTCTTTGACTAAAAGAATATATCAACTCCAAAAATCTTTAGTCAATAGAAGGTAAAAGATATATTAATAAAGTAGAGGTCAAAAATTGGATCAATTTAAATGCTAAAACTCCTGGTAAATATATACTTGTTATTTCATATGATGTGAAGGATAACTAGGTTATTCACGAGATATAGATATAATTACATGCACGTAAGCGCATGTAATTATTATATAACTCATGCATAAACTAATTGTCTGTAACTTCATATAGAATAACAGGCTTATCTCATTATGTATGACGTATACACCAGTGAAATTATTATTCCTTTCTTTCACGCTACTTCATGCCTTTATTGCTATCTTAAAAATTAATTTTATCACATTGTCTTGTAGAAGCAGCAATTTACATTATAATAAACTAAAAGCAGATGGATATTGTACAAGAATTCCAAGCGGAATAAAGAAAACAAGAAGCAATTATGTTTCCTATATTTACAATAAAGAAATACATCAACTACAAGATTTTTAATGCGTATATAGATTATTTTTACATTATAATTATATATTTTTTAAATTAATAAAAACTCTAATATTTAACGTTTCAACACTAAATTCCGAGTGAATAATCAGAATTCAGAATTTTAAAGATACATATTCATAGTACAATTAAATATATTATGTTAATAACTGATTATGTAAGCAACTTTTAAAATAAAGTTTCTTTTTATAATTACACAATGATACTTAATATAAACCAATGAAGTAAGTGATAAGAAATTCCACCGGTGTATACATAATACCGATGGGATAATTCATAAAATAGAAGCAAGTTTGTGAGAAAAATGAAAGAAACTTGATTTAGGTGATTGTATTATAACTAAAAATATGAACAGTTATCAAACTCTTTTTTATGATCTTAAGCAATATGATGAGAAAGCAGGTAGACTACTAGCAAAGGAGGAATTAGAAAATAATACAGAAAATAATACAGAACATAATACAGAAAAAAAATTTCTACAAAAATAGTAGGTTTCAAAAAAATGATCTAGAGGTTGGTTCTGATCCAACAAGTCAAGCCAATAGAGAAAAAGCAAATAATAAAAAATTGACATTTGAGAGAAATTACTAAAGATCAAGGAAGAGATCTAGAATTTAGGGAATAAGAAGAAATAGGCATGGCAGTTAAAAGAAGAGCTATAGCTGTATATTATGCAAAAATTCCCAGATCTCATCCAGAATAGAAGTGATATATGAAAAATGTTAGAAAACCAAAAAGAAAGCAGTTCAGGGAAATACTTGAAAAGGAATTTGATAAGTGAAGGCAATTCAAGTTTGCTCTATATTCTCTTACCAAATTTCTTATAGATGATAAACCTGGAAATGAAAAACAAGGAGAAAAGAACTCGTAAAGATACTGGCTCAGAAATAAGCAAAATTATAGTTTACAATTGAGCTGAAATAGATGACTACTTAAGCAGTGCTTTCGAGCAAATCTTATACCAAGTGGAGGAGAGAGGAGGCAAGTCTAATGCTTGAGAATATATTTGTTACGTTGGGAGGAATAGTTTTTTTAATATATCACATGATCATTATGCATGATACAAATTTTTATTATACGCTATTATTTGTGTACCAAGAAAATTACTATAATAAAGTTCTTAGGTATTTTATAAAAAAAATATAAAATTGCTGATTTTTCCTTAACTATTGGTTAATAATTTATTGCTCAATTACTCTGATTTCGTAAGACCAACAGTTGGATTCGATATAAATCTATAACAAAATTGTTAGCAGTGATTACGGCAGGAACTGTGATGGCATATCCAGCTGTAGAAGGAGCTTCTCCAATGATAGGCAGATTCCAAATACTTCTTTTACTGGAATATTAACTTGATAAGCGGGAAGACCTAGTCCATTGCAAGCGTTAGGATTACCATTAACTTCAAGTGTACTGAATTCCCACTATAATATTTGCCAAAAATACCTTAAATTGATTGAAAGAAATACAAATAATGTGCAGTGTACTAATCTTACCTCTTGATAATATACTCCTGGTTGTCCATTTACTGCTACATAATTTGGTTCGTCATTATCATCCTCATCGTCATTATCGTTCTCATCATTATTATCGTTCTCATCGTCATTATCTTCGCTGTCGTCTGCTGTTTGTCGCGTATAGAGTCTGGCCTAGTATTAGAAATATTAGAAGTATTATAAATAGAAAAAAAATTAAAACATTTTGAATCATTGAATAATAAATAAATAAGCAGTAATACACACAATCATACGCCGATTAAATTGATTAGTCGTCACATTTCGTGTAGGACTTTTCTCAAAAATTTTAACTCCTAAAACGCATCTCACATATTGCTATCGCATCCAACGCTCACACTTTTCTTCCCAATCAATTAAATCTTGAGACACAGCAACTTCACATTTTATTCGTGCATGAGATCTTCCCTATATAATTACATTTATGATAAGACTAGGAAAAATTAGGAAAAAAAAATCTAATATGCACAGAACCAACCGATCTGGTAACTGGAGGAATCTCATTATGTCGGAAAGTTGTTGAGGCAGTTCTTCGTCGTAGCATAGGTAGTGTACGTCGACCTTGTGTACGTCGTGGAGTCGGAACTGGAGGTGGTGGAATAATGTTTAAACCTGGAAATACAGCAACATCAGGTGCGGATGGTAATCCTCTTCCACGTAGTTGATAGTGAGATATTATAGAATTTGAAAAGATCATAAAACTGATAACACGCCTACCCAAAGAAATTTTTCTTACCTATAGCACCCCAACATCTATTGGAGGATCATAGACGACACCTCCGTTATGAACTTTAAAATAATCTTTTAGTCGTTCGACAACAAAGTTATGTTCTGATATTTCCATCTCGACTATAAATACTTTTCCTCTTGGATCGATGTCAAATTTATATCCGCATGTATCTTGACGTTCAAAGAATGTATCAATTTTTTCTACAGACAAATTCCAGCCTATCTGTATAGGCAAACTATCATACGTGTCAATACTGGGCGAAACTCAATACTTCTGTGATGTTCACTCACCTTCTCTCTCTTAGAGAACTTTTTACGCTCTGAAAATTTTTTTCTAGGGACATAATTCTATTAATCATTTTAATTATTTTTTAAAAAAAAAAAAAATTATTTTGAAAAAGATATCGTCAATTTGTATTTTTCATTCGATCAGTTAAGGTTACGCAACTAACTAAAAAGTTTTAAAGAGAATATCTAAAAAAAAGAGTTACTATTTTCATGTGACTGCAGAATTTTTCGGGTAATTTACAATGCCAATGCGCAGTAATAAATTTCAGCTGCGTTTCACAATTTGATTATTTCGTTTCAGTTTAACAGTTACGTCTCAAAGGTTGTGATATAAAATATTATGACTCTCAAAGCTATAAGGCTCATACTATAATTGGCATAGGAGAATTTGCCTCGGTCCATGCTGCATATTGGAAAGAAACTCAATCAAAATTTGCCATCAAAAAGTTTGCCAAAATTTCTGAACAAATTATTTTAAACGAGGTATAGTTGTTATTTCGTAATGTTTTATTTTTAAATATAAATTCTTGAATGGTTTTTTAAATTAAATAATTTAACTGCTCTAGATTTATTTAACGGGAATTATTAACTTTCATCCTAATATAATTGGATTTTGCGGTATCACGAAATTGCAAGTAATTATTTTATTTGTAAATTAATCCAGTTCTTTTAATTCAATTACTTTGTTTATAATTATGTATATATATATATATATATAGACGAAACAAAATTTTCGCTTATTCTTGAATATGCAGATAGTGGAGCATTAAGAAAATATTTAAGGGACAAGACGAAGACTTTTAAATGGGAAACTCAATTGAAATTTGCTAATGAAATTGCAAATGCGATCTTTTGGTTGCATGAAAATAAAATTGTTCATCGAGATATCGTAAGTTTAATTCATTATCATTCAATTTATAATTTATTTTTATAATATTTAATGCGTATATCTTTATTTTAGCATTCGAATACATCAACATACGATAAAATTAGCAGATTTTGGATGTTCATACATATTTAAATTTCAATTTTAAAGAATCACGTGGTGTAATTCCTTATGTGGATCCTAAATTTTTGGAAGACCATCCTTATGAATTCACCAACTAATCTGATATATATAGCTTAGGAGTATTTATTATTCTGGGAATTAACAAGTTGTTCGTCGCCTTTTAATTTTGAAACATCAAACTATCCTAATTCTAGTTAAAAATTTCTTGGAAGCGTAAGAGAAGAAACTATGCCGAATACAAATAGTAATTTTGTTATGCTTTATCAACGTAAGTATAAAATTATTAGTATAAAGTTTAGAATCATTCCATTATTATAGTTTTAATCCTAATTTATTTATTTAAATAGAATGTTGGTTACGTGAACCTGATGAAAGGCCAGATATAAATCAAGTAATTTCAAAACTTAATAGTATTACAATTCTGAAAAAAACTGAAAGTAACAGATGAATTAGAAATTTATGAGATTGTGACTTGTCGTTCATTGGTTATTAGATTTTAGATTTTTTAAATTCTTATTTTATTTAAGTTACGTTATTATCACATATACTTTGTGTAATCCTTAAGTATGGACTCAAAAAAATATAAAATGCGATATTTTCAAATTTAAGTTTAACTCATTTTCTTTTTATTATCTCACCTATTTAGTAATCATTTAAATAATTGCAAAAGGTTAACCAATAAATGTTTGTTTTAGTTCAATAAAAATTGTTTGGTAAATTTCTGCCTATACATTTTATAAAATCATAATCAACACTTGCACAATACTTGAAAAGTATAGGCAAGTTTCAATCTCGCTTTTATTTTTTATTATTGGAGGTTAAACAAATTCCTCAAACACATTTTTCACAAAATAATTATTGATTTCTATCCTTTTATCGTAACATTGTAATTTTCAAAAACATACAGAATAGGCGTAAAATATTTTTAGTTCAAGAAATATTAAATATAGCAAAGAAAAAGACAACTTAATTAGTTAGGCACTCACAAATCGAAAATTTTATTGGATAATATTATCGTAAGCTTTACAATTCTGGCTTGTCTATATACACATATACAGTACATATTATGTTCAATATTTGATACTAACATTTGAATCATTCATTATTAGCGATTAAAGCAGCGAATTAAATTTTTATAGAGTTTTTGTCTAGATTATACATAGCCCAGGTCAAGCAAAACTATGACCTGACCCAACGGGTTGATTTTAATTCGAGTATCGTTTTTTAAAGTACGACCAGACCCGAATCGATAATTTTAAATTTTTTTTTTAACTTAACATTCGAGATGATAAACTTTAATGAAGGCTTTTTTTTTTGATTCACCGAATTTATCAAATAACATTCTTTAAAAGTAATTGCACAAGATCGTCGGCGCAGCAAATATTTTTCTACGTCTTAAATTAAATCATTATCTTGCAAATTGATACAACCTAATTATTTAACCTATGAAACCTTTTGCAATAGAGAACTGCCAAGAAAAATAAATTGAGTTTGAACATATTTTGGCCTGAAAATCATATTTGACATATAACACCATATATATTATTATTATATTTTTACATACGGAATAGGGTTAGATTCTTTTATTGTTAAATTATGTAACATAATTTCCACCTAAAAAAAAGTATTCCAAAATTTCCTTGCGAATTATATAAAAAGGTGATACGAGTCCTTTTTATCCATTTGCGCAAGTAAATTTTCGTCAATCGATGACGAATTTTGTCTTCAATTAATTTTTTTAAATACGATTAGTTTACTATTAAAATCGAAAATCATAGTAAATCGTATATATTTAACGAAATCGTTACCCTTTCTCCTTTATCCAATTTTCCATTATTTATACATCGAAAAATGATGTACTGTTTGTGGTTTTATGCTCCGGCTTTAGATCGTCAACACGTGTCTCATTGGCGCAGTTCTCATGAAATTTGACGCGTGAAAAGTAAAGTCATTAAAGCATCCAAGTTTAACGCAGTATCGTACGCCTTGTAATAAAATAATAATCGAAGCACCTTTAAGCAACAAATAGTAGAAATATCGTAGTGGTAAGTATAAATCGGAAATACTACTTTTTAACTCATTGCTAATCTCTGGACTTTCTCTATTCCGAATATCTGATATCTATGACTCATATGACTCTAGTATAATCTCAATGACGCGTTTTTATATATTACGCGATTTAAGTTTGATAGTAAGTTTGATGAAAGTTTGTGATACTTAGAACTTATGAAAGTTTGATGAGCAACAAAGTTATTAAGAGAACCGTTTTTCTTCTCTCTTCTCTGTCAAAACATCGTTTTTACGAAAGCAAAATGTCAATTTATAATATAATTAATGACCTCGATTTTACTGATCAGGAAAAGACCAAACTACGCTCTTATTTCTTTAAAAATTATTATGAAATAGATAGAGCAGTGGAAATTCTTAATACTTGTCAAACGCCTAAGGCGAAAATCGACTTTATTAAGGGAACTATCTTGCAGATTGGTATGTTAAAATAACGTGACTAAACCTTTTGATTTTCGGTACACATTTGCTAACTTTGCCTTTTTTGGTCTTCTAACCCAATTTTAAATGAACATCAATCTTAACCGGTTTGCTTTATAGATCCCATTATAAAATTTGAAAAAAAGCGCAAAATTGGTAGGTTGAAAGTATTGTATATATAAAAGATATATTCATCGAACCTATATCTCTAATCTTGTTTCAAACACAGAGGATTTGTTATATTTTTCAACTCATAAAATATTTGAGGAAGAGCCAGATCATATTCCAAGCCGTTTTGAATTATTAGATTGGATTCAAAAACCATTTTCCAAAAAGATAGATATTCCCAAAATGATATACGAACTTTACATACGACCAACCCTTTCTGAGCAAGATTCGAATAAATTTTTTCAGAGTTCAAAAGAGTTTTCCTTTCGAGTGATGAGTGATATTATCGCTATAATTTATCCACCCATAACTGGTTATACCGAAGACTCTTTCCACTCATTTTGGGATGCAGTTATCATAAAACCCATTAATCTCGCATGCCCTAAGGGAAAATTTAATCGAAATTCGTCAGCTCATACATCTACAAAAAAGTTACGTCCTGACTTTTCATATACGTTGGATGGTGCTTGCCTAGCAAGAGGAGAAGAAAAAGGTTTAAATACTTATAATGACCCAGCAGAAGAATTAACATCGAAATTAATATGGACGTACGAACGTTGCTCCTATATATTCGGTTACTATGCACGTGGCTTCGATGTGACTTACTGTTATTTATATAATGAAGAAAATAAGATATATCGGAAAGACTTGGTCACATGTGATCTTCAAACATTACTTGGGCGTATAAATGCTTTCATAATCGGAATAAATATTGGACGATTATTACCACTTATTCGCAAAAGCCTAAGTGATTCTTTCCATTGGGAATTTTATACGATTCATCGACCAAATTCTGGCAAGATTATCGAGTTAATGCAAAATGTAGTGGTGAAACGCTACTTGAAAGTAGATTGTCTTGCGAAACTTGAGAAAATTTATAGGGAAATGGATAAGAAACAAGTTCCTTACATTGATCACATCGTTGAAATTAACAAGGGGGAGAATGGAAGGACTCCCAACATTATATTTTCACCAAAGGGCACGTTACACAAACCAACTTCGGAGAAGCAATTAGTAATTGCTTTGTATTGTGTTTTATCAGCGCTAAAGGTATTTATATTGCTTCATTTATCTATTGTTTGTTTACTTGGATTACATATCTAACATCAATTTTATAGGTTCTTCACAAAATAGGATATATACACCAGGATATCCGATGGGAAAATGTGTTAAAATATATTGATCGTAACATTTGGTTTATCATCGATTTCGAAGATGCATCAGAATATCCTGCATTAGCTCTTCAACACTTGGATAAATCCAACCATTCGCCAGAAGTTTTTAATGATTTACATTGTGAAAGTGTTGATATGTGGTCCGTAGGATATTTGATCATGTCAGCTTCTGTTGAACTTCCAAGAAATGATATATTAAAAATATATGCAAAAGATTTGATGAAAGGTAATACATCTGAATCAGCTGAAATGGCTTTACGGTTTCTCTGGCAAAATTATCGAGAATTTCTTACAAATGAAGGGTTTATTGAGTAATATAGATAACATTAAATAAGAATTTTCCTAAAAAAAAAAAAAAAAAAGGTAATAGATCCAAAAAGTTACTTCTGATTTACTTAACACTTCATCACGTTTATTTTTTAATTCTTGAATTATAAAATTTAGCAATCGCAATATAAATGTATGTTATAGAGAGTGTTAGTAATGACATGCTTAATGTGTAATAATTTGATTATGCTATGCAACTAAAAAGTCGCACTAGTCACATTTGTTGTTATGGTAATTTTTTACTATTCCCTGTTTTTTTAACATGTTTTATGTTTATGTGATGTATTGAAATGTAGCAATAACAATATTATATTGGCAAAACTGCGGATTTAAGGTCTTATATGAAAAAAGAAATCCAATAATGAAAACAAAGAACTCTGAACGATACTCTTGAATATATTAGTCAATATTGTATCCAATGTAAGAGGAGGGGATTATTGCCAATTGGATTTATCAGATGAACTTGATGGAATACATATATCTGCTCGAGATTTGCAAAAAAAAATAATAATAATAATAATAATATCATGACGTGTGTAGTAATCGTGGTCATCTTACTAACCAATGTTAATATTGTACTAATTGTATCACGCAATGGTTATACTCCTGATATCTGAGATAGTTGTTACAGCGTGGTCATTTTTCCTATGATTGTGAATACATTTTTCGTAACGATTTATAATCAAAGTCGTTGTTTGATTTGAAATTTAATAAAGAATTAATTACATATAATAATAATTGATAAAAACAACAAGATGTTAAAACAAGTTTTATTTATGGAAAGTGACGATTGAATTTACTACGCCTCCGAAGTTTCTTATTAACCAATCAGAAATCTTTCATTACGTTGATAGTATCTGCCAAAGAATTTTCAACAATTACGTCAAATTTATAAATTAATTGCACAAATAAAAAAGTATATTTTTTTTTGTAATGAAGTAAAAGGTTTAAATAAATTTACTATTACTTATTGCAATGTAATGATTTACTCACCGTCAAAAGTGAGAGTTTGTTTCTAGTCGCTGTAATAGATATATTTTTGTAAACTTTTGTTCTTCCATTTCATTTCAGCCATATAATATGTTTCTAACCTTGATTTTATTTGGACTATGATACGTTTCTTCCATTATTTTTTGAATGCAGCTCTTGCTTGCTTGAGCACTTTCATAAGTTTCGGCTTAAATCCCTTTCGTTTGATTTTCTGCTTTAAGGTTCTAATGAATTTTCTTAAATATTTAAGTTTTTGTTGTTTGTCTTCTTCTTTTTCTATTTGTCTTAATACTGCTTCGAATTCCCCAGTTGCGTTACTTATTACACTTCCAAACGTTGTTACGGTGTCGTTATTTTGACTATACATAATGTTAGGTTATCTATTTCCTTTTGATTTTCTCCATTGTAATTGTTTATATATATGTAAATTTTTATGAGCACAAGATTATGCAATAAGGTTACATGAAATAATCAGATGACAGGTTACGATCAAGTCGTGCTCGTGACTGTGAATTTTACCGAAAGGGTAGTATTTGCGAAGAGGTTTGGTAATAATATTATATGATTTTTATCTATACTACAAACGATTAGGGTTGGTAAAAGTCCTAATTGGTCTTAATTGGTCCTGATTAATTTTAAAAAAATTATTAGTTTTAAGGATTAAATTTTTTTAAATATTATCATTATATTCAATTTTTTAATTAAAGTTACTTATTAAATTAAGTTTAAATTTATTTTTAAAATTTAAAATATCTTTAAAATTTTAGACCTAGGACCTAGATCTTAGGACCAGGTCCTAAATTAAGTATATTTATTATTTTTAAAGAATTTTTTATTTTAAATTAATAAAATAATTGATATATAATAATTATTAAAAAGATTAATTTATTATTAAAAAATTTAATTAATAGTATATAAAATAAAATTATCTTTTCTTTAAATTCTTTAAGACCAATTAGGACTTATTAGGACTTTTACCAACCCTAACAACGATACATGCATCAGTGTACTTTGGGCCTCTTCAGGACTATGATTACTGCCAGTATCTAAGGAATTTGAAACAGTGCTGCTCAACTAACTTTTAGCATATAGGAATTCGTTTTCAGACAAATACCGTATACGGAAATTTCGTTAACCCAACTGCGGAAATGATTTCACGTTTATCATTGAAAATCAAGACATCGCGATATTCTGAATATCTTTTTCCGTTTAAACGTCATGAATGCACAAAAAATTACCAATTCACAATTCCTAAAGAACAAAAATTGTATATTTCTTACACTCGTTGATTATGGTTTTTGAACGACTGTACCAATAAGCAATGTTGTACAAGGTTAACCCTGCCAAAAAAAAGTATCATCAATGATTATGACTGGATGTGATTATCGCAATTTGGTGCATCTTTACCAAAAGGTTTTCTTCATATATATTCTCTGTACAATACTAAATTGTGAATGCATAGATGCTGATAGTATTTCTAATGACTTCTTTTGCAGATTATTGACTTTCATGAGCCATTTTCATTATTCAGGGGTGCGAGAGCAGATCCAATATTATTGTTGTAAGAAGAAAGTTTCCAAAGATAATAATTTGTGTAAAATTGATTTTGATGATTTAACAATATCTCTGTGCATTGTAAAAATTAGCTATTTTCAAGATAATAAGTAACTTTAAATGACAGAATTCAACAACATATAATTGAACAGACAATTCGAAGAAATCCGTTATGTAATTATAAAAACCGGTTTACATTTATAATGCATAACATGCGTCTACCTTTTCTTAACCATCATGTGATAGTTTCAAAAGTGAAAACTAATATTTTTTTTTGAAATTTTCAAAGTTTCTGTTATATGGTGTGATTTTTGATTTCATGAGTGATCTCCATTATCCAAATTGACTTTATATAGTTAGATTCATTGTTGATGAATGCAAACATCAGGTATTGTGACAAGATAAATTATATTTATGGCTAATTCAAAAATTTTTTATAATAATTCACCCTCCTTTTTCCATTCCTTTTTTTCAATTTTATTTTTTCTGTGCATCTTAATTTTAATACTTCAAGATGAAATCCGATTTATTTTCGGTACTATCAAGAGATTTAAATGAATTATTAAGTGAACATGAAGAACAAAATGTAGTAATACAAATTGGAAATGAAGTAAATTATAAAGAATTTTATGCACATTCAATTATTTTAAGAGCAAGATGTAAATATTTTAAATCAGGGTTATCCTGTGATTGGGTAAAGAGAGAAGGAAATCGAATAATTTTTAAGAAACCTAATATTACACCCGAAGTGTTCGAAGTCATTTTAAAGTACGTATATAATGATGATAATGATGTCAGTGATCAAACTGTTAAAAAAAAAAAAAAAAAAAGTTTTACTCACCTTTACCTTTCTTTTATTATAACCATATTCGTGTCGCCCGTTTTATAGGTATATATATAGTGCTACCATAGCATACGAGAAATATGATGTGATGCATTTATTGGATGTCTTGGTAGCCGCTGATGAATTATTATTATCAGAAATGGCGGAATCAATACAAGAATATTTATTAAATCATAAAGCGGAATGGCTACAAAAGAATTTTACCAAATTATGGAGGAAAAGCCGAGAATTTGATTGGTGTGGTAAAGTTCAAGAATGTTGTCAGGCTATCGTGTGTAACGAACCACATTGTCTGTTCGAATCATCAGAATTCTTAACATTGGAAGAAAATTTAGTTATAGCATTTTTGAAATTAGATAATCTTATAATGAAAGAAATTGAAATTTGGAATTATCTATTAAAGTGGGGTAAAGCACAAATACCACCAAAAGAAGATGGAAGTCCGGCGATCGATGATGATGAAAGTAAATGGACCAAAGATGACATCAATGTATTAGGCAAAGCATTAAAAGGTTGTATTCCACATATAAGATGGTTTCACATCGAAGCAAGTGAATTATTTAATAAGATTTGGCCATTAAAAGATATTTTCCCTCCGGAATTATTGGAGGAAATTTTTAGACATCATTTTACTTCTGAATCCCATTTATCATCGATAGATTCTTCTTTTATTTATTATAAACCACAAAGACCTCTCCCATTTGAATCAACTATATTACAACAACATCACGTGGCAAAATTGGCCAACTGGATCGATCGTAAAGATGGAAAAAATGATACCCTGTACACTTATTATACCATTCCATATAATCTCAAATTACTCGTAAGAGGAAGTAGAGATGGTTTTGATAGTGGTACTTTTCATGATAGTTGTGATTCAAAAGGCGCAAGCTTAGTCATTATGAAGGTTAGAGATACAAATGAAATTTTAGGTGGTTATAATCCTGTTCATTGGATGACTGGAAATGGTCACCTCACAACGGAAGACAGTTTTATATTTTCTTTTGGTAAAGTTACAACTGATCACGATATGGAGGGTGAATCTTCTTCTACGTGGGATAATCTAAATGAGTTTAAAATTAGTAGACCACGAAGGTCTGAATATGCTATTAGAATTAAAGATAGAACTTGTGGACCTTGCTTTGGTGATAAAGATTTATGGATGACATGTAATTTTAACGAAGATGAAAATTGTTCGGCTATTAAAGATGATTATGAATTTGAAATCACTCCTACCGAGAAATTTTCCGTGGATGAATATGAAGTTTTTCAAGTTTTAAATAAAATTATCATTAAAGATGTAGTATCAAATGAGAATAATAACAACAACAATGATGAGGAACAAGCTGAAAATTTGGCCGATGGAGATAACTCAACTGCGAATGAAACAAATGTGGAGGATGTTACTGATACCACTCATGTAGTTGATGATGCTGGTGATAATAATGATCACGAAGATAATTCATTAAACCAACCAACTTCTGCAGATAATCAGGATATTCCTTAATTAAATACATTTTATATTTAATATATTTAATATATTTTTTTATATTCGAAATTCAAGTTTTTGGTAATAAATTTTGTGAATTGTTTTTAATAAAAACTTTTATTATTTTATTGTTTTTTAAGAAATTTGGTTCATGATTTTCACCAGAATTTGTAACTCTACTCATTATCGATTTCACAATCTTTGGATCTGATATGATATAAAATTAGTGGTAGAAATGATAAAATAAATTTAAATTTTATTCGATAGTAAGATTTTTAATTGATTTTTTTAATATTCAAAAAGATTATATTTGATAAAATAGATAAAATAAATAAAATAAAATCAAAAGTCGTGTATATACAGTATATAGATTTTTTATATAAAATCTTAAATCTTTATTTAGTGAATTAATTAGAAAAATATGAAAAACAACTTAGATTATTTTATTTTATATTATTAGTTAATTTTAAAAAAAAAAAAAAATTTATAGTTTCAAAATATTTTTATTTATTATATTTTTTTTATTTGGATTTAATTATAAATATAATAATTAATAAATTTTTTTTTAAAAGTTAATAATATATGTAATCTTATAACTAAAAAAACTATCAAGAAGGTTAAATAATATAAATAAAGATGGTAATTAGTATTTATAAAAAAAACTTTAATAACAAAATTTATAAATTTTATTTTTTTGGATTTTATAATTTTTTAATCAGTTTACTATAACTTTTTCTATTGGTTATTATACTAGTCTTTTATCTATTATGTTTAAAAATACATGATAAATATCACTAATCTTAAAATATTTTTAATGATTTTTATATTTTTTATATTATTTTATTATTTGTTATAAATTAATTTATTATGATATATTTTTCACTTATAAATCATAATAATTTAAAGATTTTATGTGATTTTTATATAAATTTAAATATAGCAATAGTAATTATATTTTTTTGGTTGTTATTGCTAATTTTCTAGTAATACTATTTCTATGTATAATAAATTTATATAATATTATATACCCTTTAATCAAATTTTCTTATTTTAATTATATTAATAAAGTTTAAAACTATAAAATAATATATTATAATTTTTACAAATATAATATACTTTATATTAAAAATAAAATAATTCTAAGAAACAATAATTAGTATTTAGGTTATATTTTTACAAATCATATACAATTAATATTAATTCAATTTCTTTTAATTTATCATAATAATTTATTATTAATTGATATTAAATATTTATGCAAAAGCTATATTTATTATTTTTATTATTTTTATTAAAAATACAGGCATTTACTTTCTTAAAAGTCACATTAATTCATCATATCAGATAAATTTATATATAATTTGATATGTCAAGTAAGATAAGATACATCACGTTATAATTATATAACAACTAAAAGTTTGCATTCCTAATTTTCATTACTGTTAACGTGTAATTCTTGCGAACTAAAACTATTAAATAGGATATCAGAGTGTTATTTCTTTTTAATTACACATTAATCTTAAGGCTTTTACAAGTTTATTATCACGACTAATTCAAGTAAAGGTTTCAAGTCAAGGTTTATACGAGTATTTCATAATCAACAATTCACGAGGTATCGAGTAATTATATTTTCAAGTAAGAGGTTTATTGATAACAATAAAAATAGAAATAAAGAGAATAAAAGATATGACAAGAGAAAAGAAAAGAAAAGAAAAGAAACGAAGTATGAAACTAAAATGTAACATGATAGGCCTGTTTGCCTCTTAAAACTACTAAAAACTGACTTATCAAATCCTACTTTTTACATGGTCTAAAAAGCTATCTATTTATATAAAATACAGTATATAGAAAGATATAACTAATATGTCTAATATATCATATATGTCAAATATGTCCGATATATTATATATGTCGAATCTGTCTATATATCTTATTTGTCGATCATGTCAGATATATCATATATGTCAGACATGTCAGAAATGTCAGATTTGTCGATCATCTGCACCATATAGGTCCTATCATATTTTATTCATTCACATTACATTTCAAGTTTATTATACTTGTTATAAATGTATTATATTTAAAGATTATATAGTTTAAACTATTATTAAAATAAATAATATAATATAATTGATTAATTAATATAGAATTTTATTTGAATTTAATTTAATAAATTTATTTATATAATATTTATCTTTATTTTTTCTAATTAAATATCTATATATTTTTTTATAATAGTATTTAACTTATATCAATAATATTATATAGGAGGTTTTCTAGAAAATAGGATTCTGAGAATTTTTAATTTTTATTGTATTTTAATTTTTTAATAATATTAGATTAAAAATACAATAAGCATTTAATTTTAGTTAAAAATTTTCAGAATCCTATTTTTCTAGCAAATTTTACATATATATTTCTGTAATTAGAATATATTTTAGTTATTTGATTATAAATAAAATTAATCAAAACAGCTAATATTTAAATATATATAAATATTATTATTTAGTTATCATTTAATCATAATTAAAAATTTTTAATTCTTACTTTTTATTATTAAAATAAAATATATACTTATTATATTATGATTATCTAAAAAACTCTTAATAAGCATAAGTAATCAATCAGATAAATTCATTTATCAACTTATTTTTAAAAAGAGTATTGCAATTTTATAATTAAATTTATATATATATATATATATAAATATTAATAAAAAGAAAGCTATTGTTTATTTGATAAATATTTCAAATTCAAATTATTTAAACTTCTAACTTTGAAAAATAAAGTTAATATCAAGATTTTATTAATAACTTAGAATATAGTATATTCTTCTTGAGAAAACAGATATTATGATTTGAAAAGTTATGTAAAACCTGATAAAGTAATTTGAATTTTAATTTTTAGATATACTTATTATTTTAAATATTTTTTTTTACTTAGGTTAAAGAGTTAATGCTGATATTATACCATTTTTTTTATAAGCTGAATTGTAAATAATTGTAAAGAATTATTTATCTAATATTATAAAGATATATAAACATGAAAATATGAAGAATGATAAAATATTTTTCTTTAAAGAATAATATAGATTTACTTATTAAAAAAAACTATAAATGTATTAATAAGCATATAATTAAGGTAAAATAAAACTAATGTATTATGAAGAAAAGAATTGAGAAAATGGAAAATATGGTAGATAAGGTTGCTTGTCTAAACTTATTTTGGAATTAGCAAAATGGTAAAACCTTTAGTTTTGCTAAATTTTTACTAAGTGTTTGATATAGTTTTGCCATTTTTATAAGCTTTGATATAGTTTTACCTTTTTCCAAATTTCACAGATTTTTTAATAAGGTTTTAATATAATTTAACCAAGTTTTACTTTTATCATTTAGACGTCTATCTAAACTCTTGATTTGTCTAGCAATCTTAATGGTAGATATCACTATATATATATAATTTATTTTTTTTAATAAAGATGGTTTTTTTACAAAAAAAAATTTAAAAGAATTATAAATTGAATTAATATGTTTTTATAAATTTATATTTTTTATTAATTTTATTAAATTATTATATTACATGTCACATTATTACAATCTTTTATATAATTAAAATCATAATATATATTGCAAAATATTTAATTGATTCTTCTAATTTATAATTTATTAAAACTATTAATTTTATTTAAGACTTGACTATTTCAATTAAATAATAAATTAACATTTAATTTAAGAAAAAAAATACAAGGTAGTAGAACAAAAACAAGTATATTTATTATCTGATATCTAGCTAGTTTAGAGACTCATAAAACCAATTCTCAAAATATTCTTGACTTTTGAATTCTGATTAAGATCCAATTCTAAATAATAAATAGCATTATATTTTCCGATTTGAAACTTCTTATTTCATGAAATTCAGTTTTGGCAGGACATACAAATGGTTCTTGTAATAAAATTTTAGATTTTTTTCAACAATAAAAATTCTAGCACAAAAATTAGCTCAATTTCTAAAACATGTTGATCAATCATCTAATGTGTTATGAGGTCACACGTATGGTAAAAATAAATTTGTGGTGTGATATTAAATAATTTTATTACAATCAATACGAGTACAATTATTTCGAAGCCTTTCTTAAAGAACGATATTTAGAAGATGAGTAAACAAAATATCAGTTACACTGTACGGGTGTAACACGTATAGAAACCAATTTTCTTATTATTGTAGTGTGAAATGGTTGAACTTGAATTCGAATTTGGAGTAAAATGTCGAATTTGATAAGAAAAGAATATCGTATCAAAGATGATGTGGTTAAGGCGCAATATTCTCCCGATATTCAAGAATATGTGAGTTTAAAACAATATCTTGACATAACAATAACTTGAATTATACTTAACACTACACCATTCCGTTAATTTTTAGATTTCAACCCAATTATTCGAAATTAGAATAAATGAACTCAATAAAACCGTGCAATAAAATACAAATTGTATTATTATATTTATATTTCTAATACGTTATTGATGATAACATTAGGAGGACCAGCAACAAAAGTAAAAATGTACTTATACATGATTACAACTTTTGTAAGTTGTATATATTTTATCGTGGCGTGTATTCATTTGATGAAGTATATTGGAAACAAGAAGACAGTAAGTATCTTTTTTAAATTTTTTTTTTCATTTCATTTATTATTTATTTTAATAACACGTAATTTTAAAAGAAAATGAAGGAAGTCGAAAAGGTGATGGTACGATTAAACAATTTAGACAACCCTAGATATATCTCTTGGAAGCTAGATACTATGGAAGGATATAGGAAAAAGTATTATGTAAGTTTTTTTTTCATGTATAAGAATGTAGAAAAGAATGCAATTTACATTGTAAACTATGATATCATTATTCTTTTAGTATGTAATACTTGAGCTAAGCTCGCCAACAATAACTCAACAAGTGACAGTATTACCACCACCAACTACGACACCACCACAGCAAATTGTCATCATAACAGGAAATGCCGCAACATCTCCACTAAGCGATTATGCACAAACAACTCAAATAATTTCAATTGACGCTTCGCAGAAACAACTTCCACCTCTACCTCCACCAAAATATTAAACTATTATTTATTTGTATTTAATTTACTTCAGCAGACAGTTTGTATATTAACATTCTTCGAAATTTTATCAATGAAATATTAATAAAATTATTGATTTGCCACGTACAATAATTTTATGACATAAAGATTTATGAGAATAAGATTTTAAGTGATGAGATCATCTGCATAAAATGAATGACCGATGGATTTTTATCTTCGCCTTTAAAACTAAAGAGATCGTATATATTTTTTTCTACCCTTTTCCATTTCTTATGAACAAAGTGGGAATATCTATGAACCTCATCATTTCCCTTTTATTAAGAATGAACACAGTTAAAAAAAAAAAAAATTCTATTAGAATACAGTAAATTTGATTTATTTAATACAAGAAAGCGAGAAAAAATTATTTTCTTTTAAATAATTTACAGTTTCCCTCGGGTGGTTTTATTTATTGAAAACTTTAAAAACTTCATATTCGGTAACATAAAATTTACGATGCTTTGTAATCAAAACTTCGTAGTCATCATACAGCTGTCTATAAGATTAAATTACCTTGCTTTATCACTTAGTAATTGTCACAATTTGCTTGTTGATCATCATATAAATAAAATGAAATATTTATATTTTATATTTATCTTTAACGTTAACTCTAAAAAATAAAAAAATTATTAACCTTATTTTATATTTTATATAAAATCTCCAATACTTATTGAATTGTATAACAATTTTGTTGAAAAGGTGTAGAAATGAAGGAAATGTATTTGTAGTGGGTGAAAAAATGTCACAAGACGAAGGAAAAAAGGTTTATCATTAAATAAGAAGAATGTAAGTATGGATCATTTAAAGAGAGAAAATGCGAAATATCCAGAAAATTTGCAATTAGATCAGTGCCTTTGCAAAACGGGCAAAGCACTAATAATAATATCGGGGAGTTTCTTTAATGGCCAAAGATCTTACCATTTTCATCTACCGTGAAGTATTAAATTCATTCACTTTCTCACAAAAGTTGGACCATGAAAATATTACGATGGAATGCATTCGATATTTATTTCTTATAAATTTCCATAAGAAAAATAATTACATTATTAAATTTGCATTAAATAGAAATATTACATGAGGATTTAAGAAAGAAATTTATTTCGTGGTGAGAAAAGAAAAGGGGATAAAAATAATTATTACATGATACCGGATAAATCGCTTATTCGGCACTTCGAGCCGAATAACTACCGCTACTTGTGATTCTGCAAGTAGCCCAGAATCAACCAATCAAATTTGATTTGCCCAATATAATTGGAATTCGGGAATAAAAGAATCACTCAAAATGTTATTTATATATGTAAATACAAAATGTGATACATTTTATTATTTCGTATTTATTTCTATTCAATAATATTATTTTTATTATTTGTTTTTAAAATTAAATGCAAAAAAATTGTACAAAAAAGGGTTTATATGTATAATGCAGATGTAAAAAAAAAAATTATAAAATACAAAGAACCAATCAAATAAAAATAATTAAAAAAATTATGTACCGAATAAAAAAAAATAACAATTGAAATTGAATATATAAAAAGTCTAATAATGAAAAGAAAAAAATTATTGTCATTGTCCATGATTTATGATTTGTTCTTTTCTTTTTTTTTCTTTTGATAAATTAATACATTATCTCCAAGTTGCCATGGCAACTAAACCTGGATGTGTCTGATGCGTTAAAGTTTCCAGGGTACGTTGTTTAATTCCTCCAGTAACAGGTAAATTTGTATTTCCCATCAAGTATTGATCGACCTCTCTTGCTGCCTGTCTTCCTTCATTAATACCCCATACAATTAAGCTTTGTCCTCGTCGACAATCACCGGCAGCGAAAATTCCTGGTATTGCTGTACTGTATTTTCCTTTAGGCGTTTCAATATTGGTACGAGCATCGACCTTTAATCCTAAACTATTTATTAACTTTTCTTCTGGACCCATAAAACCAAGTGCCAAAAATATAAGATCAGCTTGGAAGAATTGTTCGCTTCCTTCAACTTCTTTCATTGACCATCGACCGGTAACCGGATCTTTTGTCCATTCAACGCGAACTGTGTTAACACCAGAAACGTGTCCATTGCCGTCACTCACAAAAGATTTTGACAATATATTATACTCCCTAGGGTCTTTACCGAAGTGAGTTATGACCTCGGAATGCCCATAATCAATGCGGAAGACCTTTGGGAAGGTAGGCCATGGATTTTCGATGGGATCACGTGTTGCTGGTGGCTGAGGCAGCAACTCAAAGTTTACGACTGATTTGGCGCCTAAAAATTACATCGAGCACATCGATTAAGAAACGATAAATAAAAAAATTGAAAAAGTAACAAACAACCAATGATGATTAGAATTTTTACCATGCCGTATCGATGTCCCTATACAATCACATCCCGTGTCACCACCACCTATCACGATGACTATTGAGAAGATGAAACAATTTTAGAAATCAATTCAATTTTTTTTTTTTTTTTTGAAAAATTAATTCCGAAATAAATTATAAATGCTCCATACCGTTCTTATCCTTGGCGTCGATATAGCGGGAATTCTGAAGGTTTGAATCCAACAAACTCTGGGTGTTTAATTGAAGGAATTCCATGGCAAAATGAATGCCATCAAGGTTTCTATTGGCTAATCACATAAAAAAAATTATTTAAAATCGCGTTGAGAAAATTTTTCTTCGACTCAAAAAGAAAAGGAATTAAAATACTTACGGATAGACAAATCGCGTGGCCAAGTTGCACCTGTTGCTACTACCATACAGTCATTCTCTCTCCTTATCTTTGATGCGTCAACATCAACACCAACATGAGCATTTGAAACAAATTTTATTCCTTCATCGGCAAGGAGGTCAATCCGCCTTTGTACAATTTTCTTGTCCAATTTCATATTAGGAATACCGTACATAAGAAGACCACCAAATCTATCATTCCGGTCATATACTGTGACGAGATGGCCAGCCTTATTAAGTTGATCAGCTGCGGAAAGACCAGCTGGACCTGATCCAATGATTGCAACTTTTTTGCCGGTTCGCATTGCAGGTGGTTGAGGAACAATCCAACCCATTTCAAAACCTTTATCGATGATAGCACATTCAATTGATTTGATGCTAACTGGTAGTTCATTGATCCCCAAAACACAAGCACCTTCACAAGGCGCAGGACAAACGCGACCGGTGAATTCAGGGAAATTGTTTGTCATCATCAACCTGTTCAAAGCATCTTGCCATTGATTTTTGAAAACAAGTTCATTCCATTTTGGAATGATGTTACTTATCGGACAACCATTGTCAGATTGACAGAATGGTACCCCACAATCCATACAACGAGCTGCTTGGACTTTAAGATCCGCCTCATTAAGGCGAGCATTGATTTCTTTCCAATCCTTGACGCGCTTCTTTGGGTTCCTATAATTGTCAACTCTCCTCTTATATTTCATGAAACCCCGAAGTTTGTCTACAATTTGAGGTCTCTTTTTGGCAGCTTCTTCATCCACCATCGAATCCTCTATATCTGCGACTGATGGCTCTGCTTGTTGATTAGCGAGCTGAAGTTCTGTTTGTTGCTGTGGTTCTTGCTCTTGCCTCCTTTGAATTTCAGCTTGTTTTTGTTTCTCCAATACATCCTTGTAATCGACAGGAATAATTCTTATAAATTTAGGTAATATTTGATTGAAATTTTTCAAAATACGGTCCGCAATATCGGATCCAGTATAATGACGGTGATCTTCAATAAGTCCACGTAAGAATTCTATTTCTTCAGGATCATTTATCGTCTCCAAATCGACCATTTCAGTATTACATTTTGAACGGAAATCTTGAGCGAGATCGAGCACATAGGCGATCCCCCCACTCATACCAGCTGCAAAGTTTCTCCCTGTTCCTCCTAATACAACTACCCTTCCGCCTGTCATATATTCACAACCGTGATCGCCAACACCTTCAACGACAGCAATCGCTCCAGAATTACGTACACAAAAACGTTCAGCTGCAATACCACGGAAGAATGCTTGTCCGGATGTAGCACCATACAAACAAACATTTCCAACTATTATATTTTCCTCGGATTTGAAAGTCGAAATTTTTGGTGGATAAACGATTAAATGACCACCTGAGAGACCTTTTCCAACATAATCATTGGCGTCACCTTCCAATTCTAGTGTAATACCGGACGCTAAGAAAGCACCAAATGATTGACCCGCAGAACCTTTGAGGTTGACACGAATAGTATTCGTAGGTAATCCATTTTCACCATGAAGTTTTGAAACGTGACATGATAAAGTCGAACCAAGTGCACGATCAGTATTTACAATATCGCAATCAATTTTTACTGGTATTTTCTTTGTCAATGCTACTTCGGATTCATCGATGAGTTTATTGTCCAAACGAACATAAAGTTTGTGGTCTTGTTTTCGAATATTATAAGTTGCAACTCCAGGTCGCAACGTGAAGGCTGGAGTTAAGATTGGTGTGAGGTCGATATTTTCTGTTTTGGCATTCCTTAATGATTCATTAACTCGAAGTTTATCCGATCTGCCAACCATTTCATTGATTGTTCGGAAACCAAGTTTTGCCATGATTTGACGACATTCTTCAGCAATATAATAAAAGAAATTAATCACATGTTCAGGCTTCCCTTCGAATTTCTTGCGTAATTCCGGATCTTGAGTGGCTATACCAACGGGACAAGTATTCAAATGACATTTCCTCATCATAATACAACCTATTGCAATTAAAGGTGTAGTAGCGAATCCCCATTCTTCCGCGCCTAATAAACAGGCGATTGCTACATCACGACCTGTTCTAATTTGTCCGTCGGTTTGAACGATTACGCGACCACGTAAATCGTTCAAAACTAACGTTTGATGAGTTTCAGCAAGTCCCAATTCCCAAGGAAGACCAGCATATTTGATACTTGTCCAACGTGACGCACCAGTACCACCATCATGACCGGAAATTAAAATATGGTCTGCCTTTGCTTTGGCAACCCCAGAAGCA